CACCTAACAGGATGGTTTCACAACAGGATCATATGTAATTAGTATAAGATAGATGATTTTAACGGTTAAAATACCCGATGGGATGGTTCTGTAACGAGATCATAACATTTCCCTTTTTTATATATTAGTATGGTTATTGATTTTTATTTTTAAAATTTTATTTATTTCGGTTTTAAAAAAGATAACCGAAATAGTCAAACGAATCAAACTATATAAAAAATATTATTTGTATTCAACAAATAATAATATAAAATATCAAATAAATATATATTTTTATATTCTAAATATTAATTTATTTTTGGTTGATTCGATTAACTGACCGAATAAATCGATTATTTCGGTTGGTTTTAATTCGGTTTGGGACAAAAGTTCGGCTTAGTTATTTTGGTTTTAACATTTTTGCTGCTCAGTTTAACTGAACCGACGGATGAACATATCCCAAAACATGACACTGCCACTTTTATTTCTTACTAGTAAAGTGCACGTGCATCGCACGTGGTGATGAATATTTTTTACCGATTAAATTTAGTAAAATTAATTAATTAAATATATCATTGCATAAACGAAGTAAAATATAAAACAAATAAGTTTGTAATGTTTTTTTTAAATAACATAATGATGTCCTAATGTAAAAATAATGAAATAACATATTACAACTCCAAGAAAAATACAGTCCTTAATGGGCAAAAAAAAACACTAAATAACTAAATAAGAACCTAATTATATTATAAATGCATTAGTTATTTTATTTAATTATGTTAGATGATTATACAGTGATTTTCTTTCATTTTCGTTTTGACGTTTTCATAAGAAACATTCATACTCGTTGGAGTCCAATAAATCAATAGTACTGCAAATTTATCTTAATTCATTTTACAAAACATCTACTTTATTCAAACACTTATAAATATATTGGCCAACATATAGTCAAATTTCATGATTGTATGATCTTTATAAGGTATTTTTACTAATAATTCATGAATATCTTTGTAAAATAACAAACCATATCATTAAATTCTTGATATTTTTTTATCATTGTATAAACAAATTCATTACTATGTCCATATAGTAAAATTGATACCTACCCCTTTGAGGTATTTCCCCACGGGGTGCAAATGAATTTCATCTCCAAATATAAGTTGACTTTCCAAAATTCTGGTTACATGTATTTCTCCCGATACGCTAAATTACTTTTCTGAAATCATCACATTACATGAAGTACGTACTGTAAAATAATTGCACATATGTTCGAGCAAAAATACACAATGAGATTGTAAATATTCCTATAAAAAGGGGACAATTTTATTCAAACATTCAAGAATGTTTTGATCAGGCTTCGACATTTTCTTTTTCCAATGTTATTTATTAGAAGACAAACGAACTATATAATCTATTGTTTGCAAATCATTGACCAACTTGGTTGGTGCAATGATTTTAGCGTTGTTATCATATATAATATCTTTCACATTCGTTCGAATTTGCAGTACTTATGTGTCTAATAACTTCTTTAATAATTTTATTGTCCATTTTTTTCGCATTATACATAATACTTCGAAAATTCAAGATAAAGATTTTTTCTTGAACACACACACACACACACACACACAAAAAGACAATGAGACAATACTAAGAAGCATATCATTTGTTAAAATATTTGAGAAGAGAATAACTAGAATTCTATTATATTATGATACTCTCAGCCGCTCTGTGAACTTTATTATTACCAAGTTATTATTAAAATTTACGTTATGTATTACAAAGTTTTTATTTTTTTAATTATTTAAACTTCTTGATAATATAGAATCATTATTTATGAGAACTAATTTCTTACAGAGTTCATATATTTAGACGCTAGCAAAAAAAGGTAGTAATTTTAAAAGATTTTGTTTCTAGATATTGGCATTCATATTTCTCTAAGAAAATTCAAACTTTTTTCAAATTTGACAAAAATGTACTTTTATACTGGTTATAAGATTAAATTTTTCCACTGTTTGATACTATTATTATATTTTTCCATTGTTTGATAAAATATTAAGTAATTAACTCATTTTCATATATATTGAAAATATATGTTATATGTTACAACCATTATGGTGTTCCTTTTATGCAGTAACTGAATAATTGTTTAAAATACAACTCATTTATTTCTCTTTTTAATTCGCATACTTAATCTTGGTAATAGTTGTAAGTTTACATCTATTTTGTAAGTTTTTCTTATTTGTATGAATATTTCAGATCTATGTAAGCAAAATATATCACAAGTTTATCTTATGCTTTTTTCCTACTTAATTAAATTTGTTTAACATGGATTTGTGATTTATTTTATAAGATACTTTTAAGTCCATTTATTATTCTAAATTAGTATATATATATATATATATATATATATATATATATATATATATGTATATATATTATTTTATATCGATAGAAATAAGTATATTATTTTTATTTTATTTACAACACATTGGTTAAATTAAAAGTCATGAGAAGAAATAATGTGATATATTAAGTATAAAAAGGGTAACAAATAAATAAATATTAAGTATTTCAAAACTGAAAATTTTAATGGCAGACATTAATTAAATTTGTAACTAAAAAGATTAAGACTACTATACCAAATTTTTTATGCAAAAAATATATATTTTTTATGTGCTTAAAAGTTCTAGTTAAAATAAATGTTCATCTTGAATATGTTTATATTTTCCATTAGTCAGCTCCAACTATATATGACATTAATTAATTTTATCACTTTATTGATTTATAGATTGAATGCAAGCTATATGTTTTCTCATTACAGTGTTACATTTTTATTACATAGAACTTCATTTTTACCTCATTTTTAATTACTATAATGCTATTAAAATAATTAAAGACTTTTCAACCTAGATGTATCTTGTTTGTTTTAAAAATATTACTTATTATTATAAATTAAATGAAAATTACTCAATGTGTTATATTTTCTATCATTATCAACAATTTTCATAACCAATTCAAGTGTGGTACTGAACATACAGCGTTGCGTTCACACTAGGGACGGTACCGTAATTAATTCAATTCACAGGACGAGGTTAGAACATACAGAGTTGCGTTCACACTAGAATTAATAATTAATTGATTCTAGTGTGAACGCAACGCTGTATGTTCAGTATCTCGTCCTGCTTGAATTACAGCACTACATTTACTACAAGAAAATTGATGAAATTTCAATGAAAATTTCAACAAAAATAATTTACAGTGGAATTTCAATGATAATCTAATGAACATTTCAATGTTACTACTCCCTTTTGAATTTTCTAATGAAAAGTTTATGACAAAAATATTTTGTTGTAATCATGAGCAGATCCATGTTTATAGGCCCGACACAAGCCCTCATCCGAAAACATCTAGGATAAGGTATCTAATAACAATTGTGAGATTTTTTTTTTCATAATTATAATCATTTCCTCTATTTTGAAAATAAAATTACAAGAAAGAAAATACATAATGAATTACTTTACAACCAATTATAATTTAATTCAGCTCATAACTTTATTAATAACTAAAAAAAATATAATAAAATCTCAAAATTACAATTTTACCCTCAAAATTGTCTTTTTTAATCTTAATGATAATTCTATTCTCTTTTTTGCAGCATAATATTTTCTCTAACTTCAAAATCTATTTTTTTATATCTTGTTTAACTAATGTATGTGAAATTTTTGTTGATGCAAAATTGTTCTATTTTTTTTTTTATCTTGCAAGCTTGTCTCCGCTGCGTTGTGCAACTCTTGAATTGATCTAGCTATATGTTCATATTTATAAATTCATCAATTATATAGTCGAGTTGAGTCAACTATCCTATAATATAAATTTTTGTTCGTGAAAATTTTAAGAGATATTCAATATTCATATGTTTTAGGTTATTACTAATAGTTAGTTCACTTTTAGTTATTTGAATTTCATTATTTATCAGGTATGAAATTGTACTTAAAACTCTGTTCCATTAAAATATTTAATTACAATTCAAATTTTATTATTAAAAGACACCAAACACAAATGATATAAACATGTCATTTTAAAAAAAAAACTTTCATAACAACTACACAATTAATAGTTTTGTCTTAAATAAATATAAAATATAAAATATATATTAATAAAAATTAATATAAATAACTTTTTTAGATATTAAGCGTGTGTATTAAATTTTTCAAGAATACTAATTAATACATATTGTAACTCTTTTTTTTAATATTAAGTTTTTTTGGTAACCTTAAATAGTTTAAGAATTTTGAAATGTTCAGAAATAACTTTAATTTTAAGATACACTACAAATGAAATAGAATAATTATAAATGATACAAAAAAATTCTGTATACAAAAAAATAACTTTAGCCTTTCGTGATTGTCTCGATACAAGAATTATTGGAATTATACACTAGAGCCCCCACAGATTGGCAGCTGTTGCAGCCCACACCTTTTTTATTTTTTTATTTTTTTTTTTGGTGCCAAACGGCTTTTCGACTCCACCAATTAT